GTAAGTACTCCGATTACCTTAAGCGATCGCGGATACATTGTGCGGGACACCGGTAAAATTCATACGTAGACACCGGCTGAAGCAAGAGGGTGCACAGGCCTGGCCCATCTATTGGCGATTGAGACACCCAGCTAGCCACTCCCCAGGCTATCGATCAATTTTGTTAAACTGTATAGAAAGTCCTAGTCTTTAGGATCTGGCGCACTCTTCATGGTATGGGTGCCTATGATTCAGGAAGTGCTGTTAGCGACAACAACGTTGCGATATACTGTATCAAAAAGATAAGGAAGGATAAGATTCTCATCAACTAATTTGATCGCTTTTATTTAGGCCTGCAAGCATAAAAAAACCTGCGCCTACTCAATACTCATGGCTTCTTGCCTCCCCATGCAAAGATTCATCATGGCATCGCCTCATCCACCCGCCCAATCGCCATCGAAGTGTCCGTGCTGCCATGGCCTATTCGCCTAATCACTGGACAGTCGATGAAAGAAGTACCACAAGTCGCTATTCTCTTTGTAAAGAAATATAAGAGCCTTAGTGATCTAAACGCTCTTAAATTTCTTTACTGAGGGAGCACAATCAAGTCCAAGTGCGTACCTATACAACTTTTTTTTGTAGGTGTAGGGCTTTTAGTTTCAAGGATGCCACAGTTAAAAATTGAATTACTACCATTTGCTCGTGTTGGTAAGTAAGAATCAAGTCCAAGTGGTTCTCATTTATATGGATTATTCCTCGACCTTTGAATGCACAACTCAGTACTCCTACAACATATTGTAAGTAAGTAAGTACATCTTCATAATTATAAATTCAATCAATATGTTTTCTTTTATGTTTTGATGTTAGCCTGTTCAAACATAAATAGTGTAGCCTTAGCTGATTAAACTTGTCTTCAAAGTTTTTATGCGTTATTGTTCAACTTGGGCAAAAAACTTCATATAATCAACTACGATTACAAGTAGACCAGTATTTTGATAAGCATTTTTACTACTGCATATCTACAATGGTTGAGCATGTTAGTTTTATGCATAACATAGTTTGGTGTCCACATATGTGTAATTTAGGCGTGGACACCGGGACATTTTCATCTTGGGTCCGCTCCTGCCAATAGGACAACGACGCGTTCGACCCTGAACTGAATGCGATCGTAGAGAGAGACCACGGATACGCCATGTCAAACTGTAGCATACGGAGACAGCTCCGTGTCACATAACGGTGGGTGGACGGTCAACCGTCAGCTGTTCCGTTGGTACAGGACGAGGTAAGTCAGCGTGTAAATTGGTATGACTGTGCATGGGTAAATTCCGAGCGGGCGTTTACTGTTCCCTCGATTGAAACGTCGCGCTCATAAACTTTGATATGTGACGATGACGACTCGTTCGTCGGATCTGATTACTGCGTTTGCCGCGTCTTGGCCAGGATGTGCCCGATGGAACTGCAGCTCCGGCTCGTGCTCTTGCTCTTGTTTTCTACAGGGCCATGTGCCCCGTTACACCAGCCGTTGCAGGTCGGTAGGCGTCTGATGAAGTTACCCGAGTGTTGTCGTGTGTGCAGCCAGCTAAGAAATGCAATCAGGAAATACTCCTCGAATTTTTCTTGTTCATCTGAAATATCCCTGCTAAGACATGTTTCGGCAGCCTTGAGGCTTTGAGCAGCAGACGTGTTCATCCCCATTGTCGACTTGATGATGTCAATTGCTCAAGGACTGATTTTGGCGTCCCTGCCCCGAATATCTCAATTGCTGCATGGCACTCCAAAAATCTTGTGCAAGTCGTCTGGGGTAAACACTATTTCCTGGTTGGCGGTTGCTGTCGATGACGATTGTAAGCATGCCGTCAGTGTATCTCGTTTGACCATACAAGGCCGACGAGCGCAAGGATGCCCACACACTCATCTTGACAACCATCCATGTAATCGGCATGCACAGGGCGCCTGAAAGTCCACTTGCTTTGACCATGGATGCACAACCCAAAAATTTTGGTCTGCACCAGTGGCAGTAGCAGCAGAGAAAACATGATTTAGTGCAACGGAAGTTCATTTCATAATGATCCGTCCAAATTACATCAGCCAAACTCTTACGACTTAATCAACGGACGCGCGCGCATAACACGTGATCGTCCCTCGTCAGGTGGAGAGCCGACTAGAGCAACGATTCATTCGCTAGGGTAGGTTCGATCGAGCACACCTAAGTCCCATCCCTCAAACATTCGCTACAACGGTGTTTCATAGTTTATTTTGTTTGGTTGTTGCTTTATATATAAAGCGGGACGAAAAACTATTTCGAGGACGCGGCTCAAGCTGGCTACATTTTCCCATGGTATATACAATAAATTTGCCATGCTACAACACATAAAAAACATATGCAAGATAAAATTGTCGTCGTAGTTGTACGAGAAAGCATCCATAGTTAAATCTTGTCATGGTCCATGGCAAGTTATTTTTTGCGGGTGGTCCATGGCAAATTTGAAAGAAAATGTTCTAAAGATCATGGGGAACTTAGCTAAAAAAGTAGTTTGTCACTAGATCAATCATTCTTAGCAAAAAATTCGGAAAATGCCATGCCACTAGATCAACCAATCTTAAAATTGCCATGTCGCAAAACACAAATGTACCTACATTTTTCCTAGATGCAACAAAATTGCAGCGGTACATATGTTAACAAATTTGCCATGGTCCATGGCAAAAACTATATAAAAAAGTGAACATAAGCACATAACAAAGTTGGCATGATTAAAAATAAATAAATGAACACAAACAAGTACTCCCGCTGATCCAAAATAAGTGTCACAATTTTAGTTTAAATTTTGAACTAAAACCACGACACCTATTTTGGATTGGTTCCATGGCAAAAACTATATAAATGCCTATACAAAAGTCATGTCAAACATTAGAAAAGATGTTCTCTAATTCATGGCAAAAAAAAAATAAGAAAAGCATGTATGAGTGACATGGCAAATTCACAGATTTTAGATGTCTATATGTACGCAAAATGTAGAACATTTTGTACTGTGAAATGCCGAAAAACATTAAAATTTTGGACTAGTAACATGGCAAATTCAGACTGGAAAATATGAATGGAACATGAAAGAAATTATGTACTAGATGGCCAATTTTTTTCAAAATTGCCATCTCACTAAATAATTGTTTTCTTAAAGAAAATTTGAGGAGCAATTGTTTTCTTAAATTTCTTATGTCCTAAAAACAAATATAGCTATATTTTTCTTAGATGAACAAAAAAATACATGTGTTATATACAAGAAACCTAGACAAATTGCAGCCGTGAGGGTTTCGTTGTCATCTGACCGTTTTTTCATGTATTGTAGGGGCTCGGGTAGCCATGGCTAGAACTGAATTATGAATTGTTTGAGTAATAATTATGCAAACGAGCTTGTAATGTAACGACCATTCGTGGCTCTGTTACGTGGTGCGGCAAGATTATTGATGTATTTTCCAATCATGACTACTTGTACCGTACGATAATCTCCAACCAGCGCTCAACCCCATCCACTAGGGGGTGCCGCCGTCCGGGAGGCGCACGTAACGTGCCGTCTTTCCCTGCGTGATACGGTATAGGCTGGTTACGGCGTCTCTGTTCGGTTCCAAATGGCACGGCGCTACGCGGTTGCCTGATGGGCCCAACCCGGTTTAATTGTACCTAATATACGGGATGCATACCTGACCAATACATCTCCTGCTCTTATCCCGAAAGAAACGAGCGAACACAGATACCAGGAGCATGCGAGGACGAGCACTCCAATGAATTTTCGCTCCCTTCGTCCCATAATATAAGAGCGTTTTTTACACTAGTATAATGTTAGAAACGCTCTTATATTATGCGACGGAGGGAGTTGCATATATAACTTCTACTTTGCTAGTAAAAAGAAGATAAACTGTCCTAGCAAGATCATATAGTCACTGATGGGCTCCAAAGGAGCAGACGATCGATTTCCAATAACATATTTCCAGGCAAAGTAAGCCATAGCAAGATCATAAGGATGTTGTTGTGGCAATGCATGTGGTGCAACCCCCACAAATACTCGGCTAAATTTTCGAAAGATAAAAAAAATCCCATGGTATAGCACACAAAAATAGATCCGTGACCATGATCCCACAGCTCATTAGATGACTAGTCTATCCAGAGGCCAAGTAAATTTGGCCATAGCCCCCCAAAATGGCAAAATTATACAAGAGTTGGCGACGATAGAGTTGTCACCTTTACCCTAGCCTGATGAGACGGCAAAAAAAAATCGAGAGAAGTAAAAGAAGTAGGCCATAGCTCGGAAAACAACGAAAACCTGAGGTTTTGTTGATGCGTCATTGGACGGCTGATTTACCGACAGATCGAAAAGACATGGATACTACATACAAGCCACAAAATGATGAGAGTATTTGCTCGTACTGCGCATGCCAAATCGAGTACGAGTGTGTTGCGTTCAGTCTACCAACTTGTCTTACCTATCTTTCCTGCATCCTCTTCGCTTCTCTTCTTGTCTGGCCACCAACTAGCCCAGAAAGCAACAACAAAGCGCAATCCAAGGCAACACACAGTACTGTACGTACGTTCCTCCACCATGCCTTCAAACCAGATCCTTCCTTGCAAGGGATGCCAACAGTACACTAACGGATAAATACATGTGCATATCAACACGTATATATATCTATCCATCTACTCGTCCAACTACACCAACTGGCATTAACTAGATCGTATGCATTTCAGCAACAGCAACTCATCGTCTCTGAAACATTCCTCTTGCTTAGGAGAGTGTTTGTTGCCCCCACACTTTGCTTAATGGGTTTGCTAGCTGCTTTGGCCCTCCTAACCAACTTTCCACACATATATCAAACATCAGACTCTTGGGGACTCTTCTCTCCTTGTAAGCAACACGAGACTTCTCTCCCTGTAAGCAACATACATGCCATCTACTAGCTCACACAGCATGCATATATAAGTCTCTGTGTCGCACGCGCTCTCTCTCGCTCGCTCGCGCGCGGGGAAGAGGATGGCATGCAAGTGGCAATGCGTGGCGACGCCGCTGCTTGTGGTGTGGTTGGCCGCGTCGGCGACGCAGCAGGGATGCAACGCGCAGACGAGAGGGAGTGGGAATGGTAATCTGACCAGAGGGAGCTTCCCCAAGGGCTTCGTCTTCGGCACAGCCGCCTCCGCCTACCAGGTAGTAATAATTCTCAATTGGTTTAATTCTGCATGATTAACTCTATTTTTTGTGAAATTCTTTCACTGATTCTAAATAAAGCTATATATGTACACTATTGTTACTTAATTGGCTAGTGTGTTCTTTTCACATAATCGATTGAGCGTCCCTTGTCTTCTCTGTGGTATGGGATCTGTTTGTATACGATCAATCTTCTCCGATTGTAATATGGTTTATCTTATTTACCATGCTAGTTCATTCGTTCTTATTTTGGTGCATATGATCTTTTTTATCTTTTTGTTGTGGACTTGTGGGTCATGTGCTGCTGTTTCATGCACCCTTCTCTCCTCCTCTTGTATATGCCCGTGCTCATATTTGTCTTTTTAGTAAAGTTTACAGTCGATGCCTCCTTTGAAAAATAAAATATGATGACTTCTCAACAAACAAAATCTCCATTGTCCATGCACGCCCTCAAGTGTCAAGAATGGTAGTTACACTTGCACCCCGTTTGGATGTTGACATCCGAGGCTGGATAACTTCTATAAAAGCTCATAGGAGTTGGATTTGAAGATTGTGCATGAGCAACACATGATTGTTAGGACTACTTTGCAAGTAACCTTGCAGTGGCGCTGCGTTGTCACATGCGCGCAAGGACCAGTGTTGTAGGCAATGCATAAACAGGAGTTAGAATTTTGTACACGCTAATTAACGACATGGACTAGAAACAAGAATTATCTGCTCAAAGCAAGTAGGAACTTCACTAACATTTGCAATCTCTTTATGAGAGGCATGGTGAATTACTCTTGCGCAAGTGACCAAGTGTTTTGCAGGAACCTAGGAATTAAACTTTGATAATACTATCCAATAATTAGCCAAACGTACCCATTAAATAGCACTCCCTCCATTCGGAATTACTCGTCAAAAAAATGAATGTATCTATAACTAAAATACATCTAAATACATTCATTTCTTGGACGAGTAATTCCGAATGGAGGGAGTATAATTGACGTGGTGCACTGAAAAGGAATGGTCTCCAGAAGAAAAGAAGAAAAGGTTGGAAGCCACATATGCCCCTGAGTGCGACTTGATTGCAAAGTGACCCCTTTGAGGTAAAATCATAGCTAAAGTTGTCTTGGATGAACAAACTGGAAGAAGCTGACTCATGACTCACTGACTCATCATCTTTATCTTTTAGAGTACATATTTCATATTATGCTTCGACAAATCAGTCTACCATAGAACTTGAATAATAGCTTGATCGGTCCGTCTTGAACACAATATGAACTCAGCAACAATACATGCACGCACTACATAACACACAAAACATGGCTGTGTGCATCGCATGATGAAGAGGCCAGATTACTCCCCCCCCCCACCCCACCATTCGAAGAAGAAAAAACATAACACACTAAACATTGTATTCTGAAAAAAAAAAGACTAAACATGGTCAATGTGCATCACTCGATGGAGAGGCGGGGGTTCTCTCTCAGTTTTGGGAAGATGACCTTTTTTTTAATCGAAAAGGTGGGGACCTGTGGTGTGCACCAGGATCTTCTCTAGTTTTCTTACGCAATGTATTAATCCAACTATGAGTAAATTTTGTGTAAATATTCTTAGAGTAATAAGCATATATATTATGGTATATGTTTTTTTTTTCTGAAATCATGTTTTTTCTGTTGGTAGTACGAGGGAGCCGTCAATGTGGATGGAAGAGGACCTACAATTTGGGACAAATTCGCACACACATTTGGTAACATAAACAATTGTTTTGTTTTGTGATAGAACATTTTTTTCAGTGGAATAGAAGCATTGTTGGCACATGAAAGTATACCATAGATTAACTGGGGAGTGGTCGCTCATGAGGTCTGATGACCGAATATGTATTTACTCAGCAATGGGACTAACCTTGGCCACTAAAATTAGCAGTCATATTATGATTCAAGATGGTGATACAATCTTCTTACAAATACCTTTTTCTCCTATGTAGGGAAGATCCTTGACTTCAGCAATGCCGATGTTGCTGTTGACCACTACCACCGTTTTCAGGTTTCTCCTTTTTGGAAATATAGGCACTATAGATTAGCGCATCAAGATGATACATAATATTTCGTAGAATGTGCCGCCGAATATGAACATGAGCGTTTAATTATGCACACGTTGTACAATATACTCATGGTCCTTGAAACAACTAACTACTTCAGGAGGACATTCAGCTCATGGCAGATATGGGATTGGATGCCTACAGATTCTCAATTGCATGGTCTCGGATTCTCCCAAGTATGCATTATTAATACAAGTTTTCTGCGCCCCTTGATAATTTGACTGATAGACAGGGTTGTCAAATTATGGAGAAATAAATTAACATATCAGCACACTAACAGTAATAGCCTTGTGTGTGTTTTTTATGTCCAGATGGCGCCGGTGAGGTCAACCCAGCAGGCATCAACCACTACAACAAGGTCATTGACGCACTCCTAGCAAAAGGTGAATTTTTATACAATCTGAAGATCAAAACATTATTGACCAGTGTCGAAGTTTTATCGAAAATAACTGCTGATTCCAAATTAGTTATGACCATACTAACAAGGTGAACTGGTATTTTTCTTTCAGGGATTAAGCCGTATGTAACCCTCTACCACTGGGACCTTCCCCAGGCCCTGGAAGACAAGTACAATGGATTGCTTGACAGGCAGATAATGTGTGTACCGTAGGCACCTTGATTTGGAGCAACTTTTTCTTGGGTCTAACTGCAATGGTGGTCTAACAACCCAAACATGCAAACTGCCGATGCAGCAACGACTACGCGGCATACGCGGAGACGTGTTTCAAAGCGTTTGGGGACAGGGTGAAGCGTTGGATCACCTTCAACGAGCCACACACGGTGGCGGTGCAGGGCTACGACAGCGGGATCCACGCGCCGGGCCGCTGCTCCGTGCTCCGCCACCTCTGCTGCAAGCAAGGGAGCTCCGGCACCGAGCCCTACATTGTCGCTCACAACATCATCCTCGCTCACGCCATGGTTTCAGACATCTACAGGAAGAAGTACAAGGTCGGTCGGAAGTCTTAACATCCTATATATTGGTTTAGTTCAGGTTTCACTCTTTGAAAATTGATGTGATTTCCCCTTGGGCCTGAAGTTGCAATATAGTTTGAAATGAACAATAAAAATTGAGTTTCTGTGCATTAATATTATTATGCAGGCAGAGCAGAATGGAGAGGTGGGGATGTCGTTGGATGTGATATGGTACGAGCCTGTCTCAAACTCCACAGCTGATGTTGAGGCCACCAAGAGAGCACAAGAGTTCCAGCTGGGATGGTCAGTGAGCCTCACTCACTAAATCCATTAACTATTTCCTACTAATTAATCTAATCACGGATGGATATGCCAATAAGAGAGCTAACCTAGCAGTTTCGTAGAGTGAAAATAAACAAAGCTAGCATAGTAGTTCCAATTTTAAGTTTCTAGGAGTTGCTGAGATAAAATGAGGTAATGTCAAAAGGTTTGCCGATCCCTTCTTCTTCGGTGATTACCCGGCGACGATGAGATCAAGGGTCGGACAAAGGCTGCCGAGGTTCATGACGAAAGAGGCCGATTTGGTGAAGGGGTCGCTGGACTTCGTGGGGATCAATCACTACACCACATTCTACACAAAGGAAGACCATACCACTGTCATCAAATACTTGCTGAATGATACCTTGGTAGACAGCGGATCCGTCAGCCTCCGTAAGTTCAGTCCCTACCCGTCTTGCATCTTTATTTTTTTTATCTAACTTCATACTCATGTGTGCATCTTGTGTACATTGCCAGCATTCAGAAATGGGAAGGCAATTGGAGATAAGGTAACCATCACATTAGCAACATGCAGACTGAAATTTTTGTGTTGTAATATTGCATTTGAATTTTTGAAAATTAACTGCAGGCGTCATGACTGAATATTGCTCTTGTTCGCCTCCATACATGCAGGCCAATTCGATATGGTTGTACATTGTGCCTGGCAGCATGAGGAGGCTCATGAACTATGTCAAAGATAGATACAACACTCCAACTGTCTACATCACTGAAAATGGCAAGTACATGCACAATATGAATTTCTCCATTTGATTAGCAAAACACTGCGAAGAGATGGAACAGAAACCGCTTTAGAGCTTTATGAACTTAACAAAGATGTGCATATTCTCAATCAAGTGTACTTGATGTGCCCTCGACATCCCCCGCAAAAAAAAAGATGTACCTTGATACTGCAATTTATGCAGGGAGGACGGTTGCGATGTTCGCGGGTATTTTGTGTGGTCCCTTCTCGACAACTGGGAGTGGACCGCTGGATACACCTCGAGATTTGGCTTGTACTTCGTAGACTACAAGGACAACCTCAAGAGATACCCCAAGAATTCAGTCCAGTGGTTCAAGAATTTCTTGGCACCTTCCTGATCAAAATTTGATAGCTAATGTAGAGGTCATGATCACATACGCACTTCAATATTTTTCTATGACTTCTAGACAGGGTTCAATAGCAATTTGTGACTTCTCATGTATACATCGATTGTATATAGGAAAATTGACTTTTTAGACATACCATATTCCCTAAATTAAATGGCCTCTCTGGGCCCTTATAGATAATTATTGAGCCGGACAAGAAAAGATAAGAGTGCCCTTATGAAGATCAGCATATGATTTCTTCCATTCAATTAGCCTGTATCCGACCACATGTATTCAAACAAGCAAAGGCATGCTCTGTTTTTTGAAAAGCAAGAACGGAGGATTCACTGTACCTTCTGCTGACACTTACGAACACATGAAAAATAGCACCCATTCTACTTAATGAGAGCTGCCCATGACATCAAAAAGTCATATTCTCACATTCCTCCCTAACAAGCGCAAAGAGATCAGAGTTCATGTATCTCTCGCCAGCGCTGGGGAATATGGTAACAATCATCTTGCCCTCGTTCCCTTCTCTCGCCGCAATCTGCCAGAGACTCGCGAAATCAGAACTAACACAGCCAGCAAAGATGATAGTGTATGTAACCTGCTGGACATCAACAGTAAGTTTACCTTGATGCAAGCAGCGACGTTTGCACCCGAGGATATGCCGACAAGCAGGCCCTCCTCCCTCGCCAGCCTCCTCGCCATCACCATGGCCTCCTCCGTGCTCACCGTCACGACCTCGTCGATGACCGACGTGTCGAGAACCTCCGGTATGAACCCTGGCCCCGTGCCCTGAATCTTGTGTGACCCCAGTGAGCCTCCTGAACACAGGATCAAACAGCAATGTCTCTGGTTACTACTGCACATCCTGAATGTTTCTGTTCATCTGCACTTATTCATTGATGGTTCTGATTGGTTGGAAGTCCATTACAAGAAGTTGAAACTAGCACCACATAGTGTGGTTAAGGGATTACCTGAAATTACAGCGCTTTCTGAAGGTTCCACACACACTATCTTTATGGATGGATTTTTCATCTTCAGGTACTTTCCTACACCTGTCAGTGTGCCTCCTGAGCCAACAGCGGCCACAAACATATCCACTTTGCCTGCTGTGTCCTTCCATATCTCGGGTCCTGAAGTTTGTTCCAAAAAATGATAATGGAGTAAACTGTTGCCCAAGAATGTATTGAAAATATAAAAGAGTCATAGTCGGTAACTAAAGACAGTTGTAATTTGTAAAAGATGACATTTCAGATATAAGTACCAGTCCATTTGAAGTGTGCATCTGGGTTTGCTGGATTGGTGACTTGATTAAGACAATGAGAATTTGGTATAGTCTTCATCAGCTCCTCTACCTTGCCAATCATTCCTTTAAACCCATTTGCAGGATCTGCAGTAAAGATTCATCGAAAAATATTTAGACACTTTAAGTACTACTCCCTCTGTAAATTAATATAAGAGAATTTAGATCACTAAAATAGTGATCTAAACGTTCTTATATTAGTTTACAGAGGGAGTACTATTTGGTTAGATGATGGAAGAGCAATTTCCCCGCCGGCATACAAGGGACACTCAAAGTATCTGTGAG